AGGTCAAGGTTGCAGTGACCCGTGATCACACCACTGCACTCCAGCCTGGGAAATAGAGCAAGACCCTGTCTCTAAATAAATAAATCAATCCCACCCATTTCAATGAAGAGACAAACAGAACCGTCTGTACAAAGGTGCCAGGTAGTCAGCCAAGGTGGAGGATGAACCAGCAAGACAGAAGCAAGATGGCCCCATCAGAGGGACCCACAGCAGAGAACACTGGGGTCTGTGTGCCTACATCTAGGTGTTCAGTGCAACTTCTTTTCTCCTCAACTTTGCAAATACGCAGAAATATAGAAAGCAATGTAGCAAACCTCCATGAACACACCACTCAGACTTAACCATCGCTGTCAGTCCCACCCCCTGACAGTCCCCCTTCTCAGGATCACTATCATTCACTATGCAGAACAAACCCTGATATCTTCTATTCTAATCCAGTTCATATTTTTAGAAAATGCTGGTTGTGACCCACTTGTGATGGTTAATTTTACGTGTCAACCTGACTGGGCCACAAGGTGCCCATGCGTCTGGTTAAATACTGTTTCTGGATAGTCTGTGAGGTGTTTCTGGAAGAGGTTAGCATTGAAATTGGCAGACTGAGGAAAGCAGACGGCCCTCCTCAGTGTAGGTGGGCAGCGTCCACTCCAGTGAGGGCCTGCATACAACAAAACAGCAGAGGAGGGTTGAATTCACGCTCTGCCTGACTGCTTGACTGGGACATTGGTCTTCTCTGTCCTCCATGCTTCTGGTTCTCAGGCCTTTTGGCCTGGACTGGAATCTGCACCAATTCTCTGCTTCCCAGGCCTCTGCACTACAATACTGGCTTCCCTGGGTCTCTAGCTTGTAGATGGCAGATTGTGGGACTTCACAGATGCCATCTCACACAAGCCAATACCTTATGATCTATCAATTGACCCCAATGAATTGATCAATCAACACATAAACTCTAAGAAAAACTGATCCTATGGGTTCTGTTTTCAAGAGAACTGACTAAAACAACACTGAATCCATTTCATGGCCTGCTAAGGTATCTATACCCAGGAGCGGAATTGCTGGGTCCTGGGGGATCCACATTTCAACCTTACTAGATAACACCTAATTGTTCCCCAAAGGGGTTTTACTAATTTGCCCTTGATAAACAGGACATGAAGGCCCCCTTGCTTCACACTCTGAGCAACCTTCGATTATCAGACTTTCCAATTTGCCAACAGGTGAGTGTGAAGGGGTATCTCATGATCTCCCTGGCAGTTCCCTGATTAGGAGTGAGGCAGAGTTCATTTGTCTACTTGACATTTGCGTTTCTTCGTCTTCACAGTATTTGCTCCTTTTTCAATTCTATTGTCTTTTTAAAATTAATCTGAAAGAGTTCTTGATACAAACAGAATACCAATCTCTCACAGTACATTCATCATGAATATTTATTCCAGCCTGTAGTTCTCTTAAAGAAGTTGCTAATACTGATGTTTGCTTAGTCCATCTTTTCTTTTATGATGTGTGTATGTTTCCCACCTCAAAAGCAGACAGAAAAAAACTTCTATGTATTTTAACATTTTTCTCTTTACATTTTGGCCTTTAATTCTTTTTTTGTTTTGTTTTGTTTTGTTTTGTTTTGAGACAGAGTCTCATTCTGTCACCCAGGCTAGAGTGCAGTGGCACAATCTCGCTCACTGCAACCTCCGCCACCCAGGTTCAAGCAATTCTGCCTCAGCCTCACGAGTAGCTGGGATTACAGGTGTCCGCCACCACACCTGGCTAATTTTTTGTATTTTTAGTACAGATGGGGTTTTGCCATGTTGGCCAGGCTAGTCTTGAATTCCTGACCTCAGGTGATCTGCCTGCCTCGGCCTCCCAAAGTGCTGGGATTACAGGTGTGAGCCACCATGCCCAGCATAGGCCTTTAATTCTATGGCTGTTTACTGGTACATATGCTGTGAGGTAGGGATTTCACTTTATCTTTTCTCTTTTCCTATGTGGCCAACCAGCTGTCCTGTATCACTTCCCACCTGGTCCATAACACAGCTCTGCCGCCTCCTGGCTTCCTATACATGTGAGCACTTGCTCCTAGCCTTGCTACCCTGTCCCAGCCATTGCCCTGTCTCTTCCTGCACAAACGTCATACAATCTTCATCATCCTGGCTCTCCAACAGGAACCTCACTGCTTGGGGGTCTCATGGCCTCCTCCCTTAGTGCTCTGGCTTTGTGTTTTCTCTTCGTATCTTGTAGCTTGGAATTTCCATGCTGTTCTTTGGATCTTATATTTTAAAAAACACTTTGGGCTAGGTTTTACACAGCATTTATACACATCTGTACTGGGGCACATAATAGTACCACATCAGCCAGTCATTTTCAGGACATGATGTCTTCTAACTTAATATATGTTCTGAGACTTGCTGTAATTTAAATACAGCTTATTAATCTCTTCTATGGTCCTTCGGGATAATTGCTGCTTTTATATATTTCATTATTCACACATTTTATAGATCAAGGGCCTATAGGATGGTTATCATAGGATATAGTGAGGCCTAGAATTTAATTCTCAAAAAAAAAAAAAAAAAAAAAAATTCTCTTCTTCCTGTTATTGGTAGTTCTGAACGTGAGATATTTTAAAAAAAAAAAAAAAAAATAGAAGAAGAGGAAGAAAAGAGCCTCAAACTTTTCCTGTAAGTGGAAGCACATTCACAAATTATCCTATGAAAAGATATCAGGCACACCACGGGTATTAGTATTCTGAAGTTACAGAATGATTCCATTTGCAGTAGAAAAATAAATAAACCCAGGCCCTTTCTTCTCTTTACAGATCTCCTCACAGAGACTCATTCTGGCATAATTGGCATTTAAAAATATCCATCTCCTTGCCGCCTTTCTCTCTGAGAAGGAATATGCTTTTCTGCTGGGAAGCTGCAGAGACTTGTGATGAGTATATTCACTTACATGATAGGCCTATTACACTGCAGATGGGTGAGCGCAATCGGGAAGACAGCCCAGCACCTTCTCTATTGCAATTGATTTTGATCGTCTAATAGTATTTCAGGACACATAAAAATTCCAGTAGTTCTTTTCTAGACTCAGAAGAAAAAAATGCCTTATACCTTAGAGACATAACCCTATGACTCTCTCAGAATGTAATGACACCCCAGGTTCCATAAGGAAAACGTCAAGAAGCCAATTTCGCCGTGGATAGTCCGTAGAGGGTGGATGGGCTGAGGCAGCTGCTTAACCCTGGGCTCCCGGAAGACTGGAATTTCATGGAATCGTGAGCTGCGTCTCCATAAGTAACAACATCCCCCTTCATAAGCTGTCCTTACTGCTGGTGACAATCAAAATCTCCAGCACTTTCAGAGCCGAGTGGATGATGCATCTAATGTCATTACAGCTGAAGTATGTTTACAACCCTAAGCGGAAAGTTAAACAGAGCAGAAAAGGCCTTGTGGAGAGCACAAAAGTACATTCGCAAACTTTGAAAACTGACAACAGAGAAAAATTTCAGTAGATACTCCAGCTTATGTCCAAACCCATTAATAATCACGCAGCTCCTCTCCATTTCATCCTGTTGCATGGACGAGGGCTGATTGTCCTACCTCTCTTAAATGCCTTGTGAATGTGCCCCCTCCACGGAGAGCCACCGTGGAATTCACCCAGGACATCTGTGACAAGAACGCTTCCCAACTGGATGCAAGGAAACTCCGGCCACACAGCAGAACAGGGGTGTGAGCGGTTACCACGATGTGGGAAAGATGCAGGACAGAAAGTGAAATCAATAAAGCCGCCTTGCTTTACAAATAATGGCTCTCCGGGTGGCTTCAAATAGCCAGACCTGTGGCCTTGTGCTGCCCCGGACGAAACACTGTGATTCTGAACCTGAGTCTTGACCCTCCAGAATCCCATCCTCGCCCCTGCTGGTCTTCATCCGTCCCCTCACAACCGGCACAGAGCTTCCCCACGGGGACACACAAAGTGTTCCTTGCCTTGGTCGGGGGAGGGTGGTCCCGAGGCCACTGCTGCCTTGCATGTGACACTCTGAACTGCCTCCCTGTCCAAGCTTACCACATGCTCCTTCCCAAGAATACATAAGAACCCCCAGAATCCCTCAGAAGCTCAGGCCTGCTCTGGGCATCAAACATGAAGACTATCCCTGGCTCTGCTTCTTTAACTCCAGCAACAATGCTCTCTGCTCCTCGTTCTCCAAACACGCCCCACCCCGTACACTGGCTTCCCTACAACGCCGCCGCCTTGTGTGTCTCCAGCCACAGAAGAAGACAGCCAATTCATCTGCAGTGCAGAACCTGTCCCTTGCAAGTCTCCGCTGTGTGGAACACTCGGTTGGCACCAGGGCTCTGTTCCTACCAGTCCTATGGGGCAAGGGCAAGCCAGATGCTGACCATGGGGCAGTGTCATTAGGGCTGCAATACTGCTCCACGCACAGGGAGGGAGGATGGGCCACGCTCCATCCCTGGCAAGCTGAGGAGGCTTCTTTTTATCCAAGTTAGATTTCTTCTGTTCAGCTTCCTGGTATCTCACAATGGCTGGTCCCTTCTCGAAGTAGACCAGCCACTGCCCACACTGGAGAGTGAAAGGTTCGAGTGCTACCATTGTTGCCAATATACATGTGTCTACTTTGGCTGTAACTAGGAACCTAGGTAGGGGTTACACAAATCAATGACGGAGTCTGGTGAGGACCACAGTTTACAGAAACACCAGTATGATGAGGAGGGGATGCACGCGGAGTGCTTGTCTTGCTGTTGTCATTGGGTGGTGGGCAGGTTGGTTCCAGGCAAGGTGAGTGCCAGCAGAGTCCCCCCTGTCCGTCCACTCCTTGGCTGTGACTCAAACCCCAGCTTCGAACTCCCCGAGCTCACACACACAGGATCCCAGAAAACAAAGAGCCACGGTAGTTGCCAGTTCTGCCTGCAGTGTAGCATTTTCCCTCCAGTGAAACGGTCCGCTCCCCACACGGCAAACGCAAAACCTCACTCCATGCAACGCTGCCTTGTATTTCTTACCGAAAATGAGTGGTCTGGTAATGTCCCGAAAAATCTCCTGCCTGGTGATCAAATCTTTCTGGAAGAAAACAGAAGAAAACAGAGAAAATCACTTTTGTTTCAGCAATGATACAGGTGCCCACATAGAGCTCCTTCAAGTATAAAAATGTAAATATGAGGCTTTGAATCACCTGTAAAAGTGAACAGATTATAATTCTAATGAGATAATCAGAAATTACCCTAAACAAATAATTAAAATGTTTCTTTAGCCATTCATCGCATAATTATTGCCTTAAGAACAATGTGTTGGGCAAATAAAGAGATGGCTTATGTACCATTCTGCAAGGAGAGACTCTCTGCATTTTAATGAGGCTCCTCAAAGCCCTCATGAATATGTATTTTCCCACAACAAAGCTTGACCCCACGGGTTTGCAAAGCTGATGCTTCACGACACTTTCAGACTGTGGAGGGTGTACATATGGGGGTGGGCGGGGAGTGGAGAGCGATGAAAGTGAAGAGAGGAAGGAGGACCACCTCTCCCTTCCAATGCCCAGGGTCTCAGCCCACCTTCTCCTGGGCGAGATCGTCTCATGAAAAGAACAAGGAAGAGACCACCAGGTCTCAGACTTCCCTGAACAGCGGAAGCTCTGCACAGGAAGGCTGAAGAGGAAGCTCCTGCCAGCAGGCTCGGGGGCGTCAAGGCCAGGCCCTTGGGTTGGATCAGGAATTCAGAGCAAAGGCATTAGAAGGCTACGGGCAGGAAGCCAGGGGTGGAACAGGAGGAGGGGCGTTCATTCGTCTGCAACACCGCATCTGAATTCTGCCTCTCCCTCCATGTTGGCTACAGACAGAGAAAGTTACAAAGGCTTTCTGTGTTCCTTTCAAAAAGGATAGCAATACAGCCTCCCCCCGGGGGTGTCAGCTGTTGGGCTGGGTCAGGCTGGGAGCCCTTCACGAATCGCTGCACTGCTGGACAGGGCACCTGCAATCTGGTCCTGGGGTCTGCGGTAGCAGGGAACAGCCCCTTTCACTGGGGAAGGAAACAGGACACAGGCGAGACAGTGGCTTGGACTTCATCACAAAGGTTTGGTCTGTACTCAGCGTCTTCACTTCTCTAAGACAGTGGCCAGTTGCTCTCACTGCCCAGGCAGACTCTTCCAGCAGAGGGTTATAGTTACGGAATTTCCTCCCCAAAATGGCCCAGTGCAGATACCTCCGGTCCCCACGTAAAGGAGATGACCCGATATCTCTGAGGAGGCTAAAGATGTTTCCGTGTTGAACAAGGTACCCGTGAAGGGAGCCGCAGAGCTGTAACCTACTTGCCTCTGCTCAGGGGAAACTGGCCGTTTGCACCATTGTTCCATTTCCTTCCCAGGGTATGCTGCTTCTGTGGCCTTTCAAGGCCTGTTCTTTGAAGCGACGTGGTGCTTCACAGAGCCTGGCCCTCTGCAAGGAGGCCTCTTTATCACACCCAAAGTGAGCACCACACAAAAAGCATGTCAATCACACACACGCTTTCCGCAGTGGAGTCGGTGTGGGCTGCTCGCTTCCTGTGTGAACGTCAGCAAATCCCTTCACACCATCTCCGTCAGTTTCATCGTGTGTAAAACTGGACAATAAGAACTACTTCAAAGGTGGCTGGGAAGGTGAACTGCAAAGAAACCTCTAGAATGTTGCCTGGAATCACATTAGCATCGAATAGTATTCCCTTCTTCACTCCTAAGCTCGCCACCTGGGGTCCTCCAAAAATAAGTATTCTGAGTGAGGGCAAGAACCAAAGGTTAGTCCAGCAGCAAGAACCCTCCATGGGAGTCCGGGGTGCGGCCTCAGTTCCTCACTCTGTTACAGGTTAGCCCTGTGACCCCAAGCACATCAGTGAGAAAGTCAGGCCTGCCAGTCCCTGTCCTCTCCAGGCACCCTGAACCCCAGCTGTGGGCAGCTGTCACTTGACCAAGCCCTGCAGTCCAGCTCTTCCCACTTGCTCCTGCCCAGAAGCACCTCAGGAAACCCAGAGCCTGTCTCAGGACTGCGTCCCAGCCCTGGGGGGCCTGCCCACTGCCCACTGCCTCCTTCCCAGAGTCTGCGAGTCTCCGGAAAGGCCAGAGCTCATCCATCTGCATCCCCCAGCAGCCCCACGGGCTTCACACTGACTGCCAACAAAGGCACGGAATCGTCACACCGCCCAGGAGCAACAGCAGCACTGCACCTTATGTAAGGCCTTTCCAGAAGAGGGAGCAGGCCCATGTCTTCACTCCACTTAGAACGGGTTCTGAGTGTCTATTTATAGGCATCACACACTCAGCCTTCGCGGAGGGCGGAGGAATCAGGCCTCTGGGCCCCTGTCCACCATCCTCATTTGCATTCTTTTCATGTTTCTTTTCTCTCATTTCCCAGCAGCATTTTCGCTCAAAAGCCAGGTCACCTACCACTTGGACCCAGCACCACTTTCCATTTTCTGCAGAGAAAAATATTCATTTTCGTTTCCATGCAGGAGCGCCCTGTCCTTGCTCTCTCCAGGGCCCCCGGCTAGCATTCGCTACAGCACGGCTGTGTGATTCGAGTGACCTATGTCTCCTGGGCAGAGGGCTCCCCTGAAAGTCATGCCCAGCAAGGTCACGAGAGCTGGGAAGGTCCTGGGGGCAGCTGACTCTGAGTCACCAGTGGGCCAGGCACATTTGGGGGGCGGGCTCCATCCCAGCGGGCAGAAGGAACACAGAGGATCCGACGCTGCTTGGAAACCCTGGCTTTTCCCATGGCCTGGCTATTCCTGCATCTGCCAAGCACATCACTCCATCCTCTTCCTGCCCCTCCAGGGGCATGAGGACCAGGCCACCTCCCCAGTCCCCCTCGGCTGTTTGTAATCAGACAGAAAGGCTGGGGCCTGCTCTTCTCTCACCAGTTTTGGAAACATTAAATCCTTCTCGAACTTCAGACTGTAAATTAAGTACACAGTCTCCCCATGATATCAAAATGCTCTGCTCTCCGAGTATAGCCATTCACAGGTCTTTATTTTTGTTTGGAGGCTTGGGAGCTGGTTTACTCTGCAGCCCTGCAGCCCAGAAGGACACACAAATACAAGACCAAAGAGGCTCAGGGGCTCCCTCCTCCTCCAGGGCCTCCCCGAGCCCGCAGCCCTGGAAGCCAGTCCAGAAGGAGAGACAGGCCTTGCCTAGAGCCCAGAATCCACAGCAGAACTCAGCCACAGAGAACACGTCGAGTACACAGCCTCGGCTGCCCGACTTCAAACACCATGCACGAGGTTCGCCTCTCTCATGAATATTTTGCTGAGGCGGTTGGCATTTAGTTTCAGGACTAATTAATTTTCTCACAGGATACCACTTCAACTGCCATCATGGGCTCTGTATTATTCTACGTGCAAATTTCTGGCAGTAAATTGGACTTGTGATCTAACTGAGCCTTTGAAATGCCATGTTTCCAGGGACTCTGGAATGAGCAGAAATGCTAAATATTCCTTAAAGAAGATGATTCATACATTTCCTAATTACCTTTGATTATTGTGTCACAGGAGTTGGTGAGGGGGTCTGAGATCCAGAAGCGATCCTCAGGGTCCCGAGGTGACCCAAATGGCTGGGGAGGGAGCCCGAGACAGGAAGCCGCTTAGGCTAAGAGAACCTCGACAGACCCCCAGGAGGCCAGCTCATGTCAGCATCCTCTCCAAAGCAGGGACACCAGCCCTGGAGCCAGAACGGCACAGGGGTAGAAGAACGGGTGAAGGAACCCATCTCCCTAAGCATTTTCTTAGCAAAGCTAAGGCAACACTCACAACATCACAGACTGGCAGACCTGGAAGTTGTCCCGGGAAGGCACAATCACAGTCCTTCCTCTAGCTGGCCCCCGAGCTGTGGCTGCATTTCCTAGAGTGAAATGGGCAACCCTGCACTTGGTAAGGGGCTGGCACTGAGCACACAGGTTTGGGAAACTGGTACACTGTGCCTGGGGTGTGGAGCAAGTGGAATCTAGTGAGCAGTAATAACCCGAAGGCAGTGACACACTTGTTGACAGGAGGCTCTGGCCACACTGGGCAGAGGCCCTGGGATGGGTTGGAAGGGTCTGCGCAGAGCACCACGGTCGGAAGGATGGGGGGAAGCATCGGGGTGCGTCAAAGAGCGTCGCCCCCAGTGCCAGCTCCACCTGGCTCCTCCTGGTGCCAGCCTAATGGCTACAGCTGGTAACGAAAGGCAGGTATCCCCTAGACTGTCAGCGCCACCTCATGAGGGAAAGCTTGTAATGGGGGTTCACACTCACATGGCCTTCGCGGGCTGGTTGGGCTGCCAGTGAACTCGCCTGCACGGGGCGGCCTCACAGTGGGGTCGGGCAGCTGGCAGAGCTCGGCACCTGGCAGGTGAGCTCCAGCACAAGGAGGCCTCCAGCGGCCCGGTCCTGTAGCTCAGCCAAGCTGCCGCAAGAGGGATGCAGTGAGATGGCGGTGTCCCCACCGCTGTGACTGGAACCCCAGAACACCCAGGATGGGACTGGGGACACGGGGGATGGATGTGCCCCCAGACCAGGACTGACGTTTTTACTGTGGGGCTTGAGGGGTTGTCTGTTGCTTCCTGATGGGACACACAGAGATGGCGCTGAGACAGGCAGAGCAGGGCCCTTCCAGGACAAGGAAAGCAAAGGGGCCCCAGGAACTGCTCCAAGAAATGGCCAAAGACCAGTGACAGTGGGGAGGGGAGGTGGGCTCAGACGGGCTCCAGGTCCTCAGAGCCAGATGGGGAGGAGGACACCCAGGTTTTAGAGGGAAGGGTGGCAGGGACAGTGACAGTGAAGTTGGGGTGGATACCGAAGTGCTCTTTACAAGTAAAATGTTTAAATTCTGAATAACTGAGTCCCTAGGCTGGCTGCAATGTAAAGGACTCCAATGCCATAACTCTATTTATAAACATGAGCATGTATTATTCTTCTCCTGGGCAAGAAGCTGAGCCTTCAGAATAGAAAGCTCAAACCTCAAGACTCTCATTTGTGCAAATATTTTGAGAACAAACTGGATTAAAAGTTAAGTCTTCAAGAGTCTAACTGCCAAGAACAATTGTTTAGTTTGGGAAGGTGGCTTGT